TTGCTTTCAAGAGCATCACCACCACCACCACCACCACCAACAACAACAACAACAACAGCAACAGCAACAGCAACAGCAACAGCAACAGCAACAGCAACAGCAACAGCAACTGAAAAATTCCGAAGTCACGGAAGTCGTCACAAACAGAGCTCAACCCTCGAAGTAAGCGCAGCGATCTCTGAAGTCCTCTTTGTCCAGCAGCTTGAGCCACACGAAGTGTGGGTGTCGAAGTAAGCTGAAGAAGACAGGCTGTACCGGAAGTGTGCAAGAAGTAGTTATATCTTAACACGCTCCCTTGAAACAAAGAAGTTGCACGAAGTTGTTTCAACCAAGCAAAAGGAAGGATTGAGTGAAGTTGGAAGTCCTCCAAACGATCACTGAAGTGGGATATACCCACTGCGAAGTGACTGTACACATGAAGTCACTACGATGCCACCGGCTGAAGTCTTGGTAGCGAGCTCTCAGAAGTTGCACTGCCAACTTCCTGGAGATCCACGAGTCCTCTTCCGAAGTGTCCTGGAACCTTTGGAAGTCGCTCCTCCTCATCGGCACGTGCATGAACCGATTGGTTCCATGCGAAGTCTTCGACCACACGAGGTCAAAGAACTGCTGGAAGTTTCCAGGAAGTCGGATGATTGCAAGCGAATCCATGTGATGCGGCAACATCAAGAAGTCTCGGCCTGGAACGTTGATGACGTAGTCGACGTAGCGTCGGTTCCAGCACCTGAAGTAGTTGTTCTCGATGAAGTTGAGCACCTCACGCGAAGCAATGCGAAAGGACAGAAGTCCAATTAATGCCCGCTTGAAGGATGCGAGCAGCCTCGGCAGGAGCAGTTTCCAACAGAAGTTGAAGACCGAAGCTCGCCAACCACACTGCCGAGCGAGAGCAGAAGCAGAAGTTGAGCATGTCCACAGAGAACGGTTGAAGTTCACTGGTCAGCCGAAGTGGTCCATTGCCTGCGCGGGAAGTGAGCATCAGAAGTAGGTTCAGCGAAGTGCAGAACCACAGCCGCACCGAAAGTTCGCCGAAGTCATCTCTGAAGTTGGGCGCGACGTAGCTCGCCTTGAAGTTCAAGCAGAAGTCGTTCTCGTTGGCGACGTACGAAGTGCTCCGAGCGAAGAGCTCTGGGAACAACGAAGTCGCCTGAAGTGCCGTCACCATGGGGTTTTCCACCCCAGGCTGAAGTTGAAGTGCTGCATACACAAACCTGAAGTCTGGTGTCCCCGGCAGCAGAAGTTTGCTGACCCGGCGGCCCTGACGAAGTGACTCCAAGAAGTCAGCGGCATTCTTGAAGTGCGTGTAGCGCACGTTGTCCGTGGAGAAGTAGCTCATGCCCGCGAAGTGGTCCCGCCCGAAGTGGGATGTCCCGCGCCCGAGAAGTCGGGCTGCCTCTGACACATAGAAGTGCACCTGTAGCATGTCTGCGGCACGAAGTAGAACCCTGAAGTGCTGGGGGTGAAGTCCGCAAATCGTCTCGAAGTGACTCGACGCATAGCGAAGGTCCATCCAGATGTTCCCAGGAAGAAGTCGAGTGGGAACTCGAGGAGGATGCTCATCCCTCTCGAAGTGCGGATTCGGCACGTAGAACTGACAACTGATGCTCCTGAACGAAGTTGCGAAACTCCGAAGTCACTCGAGCCTCCTCCGAAGTCGAAGGTGCCGGCAAAGATGCACGGGGAAGTCCAAGGATCGCGGCCTTGGGCGCCGGAAGTTGCTGTTGCTGGGGTGCCATCTCTCCGGTGAAGTCGAAGTAGAAGCTGAAGCCACTGAAAATGCCCATGGCAAAGAAGTCTTCAAAGAAAAAAACCATGTCCCAACCGAAGTGGGCGCAATCCGGTATGTAGTAAAAGATCGGCGCAATGCGGTGTGAAGTTCGCAAACCATCCATGCAGAAACGAATATCCAAAAGAGGTTGCCAAGAACCCAGCCCGAAGTAAACACAAGCAGCGCCCATGGCAGCAAGCGAAGTGAGGCACGAAGTCGCAGCCAAACGAGCGGCGGCCATGAAGTCCTTGCGCAGGCGGCTCTAGAGGCGAAGTTTCTAGACTCTAGACACTAGAGGACCTCACCAACCCTGAAGTTTCAGAAGGGGAGCTCTGCCTTTCACAAACGAATTGAAGTGAAACGTCCGGAGGCACTACGTTCAGAAGTTAGAGCGGCCTACCAAAAGGGTAGCCTACTCCTAACGTTCCTAGATGCCTTTGAAGTACCTCACGTGAAACATACTTTGTCAGCACATCTGCAGGATTCGAAGTACCGGCTACCTTCTTTACCTGAAGTACACCTTGCTGAACTAACTCTTGCATAAAAAGGAAACGAAGTTCGACATGACGGGTTTTCTTCGAAGCTCCGAAGCGTGTCGACATGCTTTTCCCGGCGGACGAATCGGTAAAAACACGAATGTTCACGCGCGAAGCGATGTTCATGTCGAGCAGAAGTGATTTCAAGAAAAGGCATTCCGAAGTGCCCAGGCCGATGCTATAAAGCTCGGCTTCTCCAGACGAAGTGGCAATCGTCTGCTGGGTGCGGGTTTGCGAAGTAAGCAAACATCCATTGAAGAACACCGACACACCCGAAGTACTCTTCCTAGTGCGCACACAGCCAGCCCAATCACTGTCTACATACGCTACCACATCAAGAGAAGTCATCTCCGGACGAAGCTTGACCCTCGGACGAAGTGTCAAGACGCAAGCCTTGCTTCCTGCAAGGTAGCGAAGTATCATCTTGACCTTGGCCTTGTGGTCCTCAGTCATCCCCGAGACAGTTCCTTGACAGCGTACTGAATGTCTGGGCGTATGCTGCTCAGCCAAAGAAGTTGTCCTACAACACGTCGGTATCTACGATGCTCAGCCGCATCTAGCAGTGCTTCGGATTCGATTTGCTTGCGAAGTGCATCATTCCCAGGAACAGGACTGTGCCTACAGCTTTGAAGATCATACTTCTCCAGGATCTTGTCTACGTAGGAAGTAGGCATGGAAATCTCAATTGCATCTTCGCGTCGAGTGATGCATCTACCTAGGAAGTTGATACTCTCCCCCGGCTGAAGCATTCCTTCCCGTCTCAAAAGAAGACGTTCCTGAAGTTTAGCAAACAGGTGTTCACACGGCTCCTTTGCTCCGAAGAGAAGTACATCATCTACGTAGCAGAGGAGGTACACCTTAAACTCAGAATGGAAGTAGAGGTTAGGGTCGCTCTTAATAAGACGCTTGAAGCCGAGATCTGCCATCGCGCTCGCGAAGTGCAGTTGCCAGGCTGCCAGGCCTTCGGACTCTGCTTGAGTCCGTACATTGCACGGCGAAGTTTCCACAGCACCCCGCCACTGGGGTAGAACTCGCCAGGAGGAATGACGAAGATCTCCTCACTCAGAAGTGCGTGAAGAAACGCCGTAGACACATCTCCAGCAAGAACGAACCAGTTGTAGGTGCACGCAAGCGTGAGAAGAAGCTTGAGCGTAGCGAGCGAAGGTGTGCTCGCAAAAGTGTCAACAGGCTCGCTCGCGCGCAGGGCCTGAAGTTCTTCGTCGCGGTCAACATTGACCTCGACAGGAACCTCAAGTCCATCACGCATGGCCACAGATGCAACGCATGAAGTCTCAACAGAGCAATCCTCAAGCACCGCGGAAATTCGCTGAAGTTTGGTGGAACTTTCAGCAACTTCCGCAGAGATCTCTATTTTCTTTCCTTGGGGCTGCTTGCCTCTCGCGCGAAGTAGCGGAGGCTCGTCTTCCGGACAGGCTTCTGCGCTGCGCTTGTTGCCAGAAGTGCCGTCAGAGCTGGAGCCCGCGGCCTGCGCTCCCTGCGCGTCATCTGCAGTGTGTGCAGATGGGGCGTCTGGCTGAAGAGCTGCGAGAACGAAGTTCGCACTTTCCTCTTGACGTCCGCGCGGGTCCCAAGGTGTTGCCTTCAACGACTCATGCAAGAAGTTCTTTGTTGACCTGCTCTTCCGCAGGAAGTCTCCTCACGCTGCGAGTCTTGAAGACACCGTTGGCGTTGCCGACCACATCCATGTCCGAAGTTGTTTCGCGACCAAGCCACAACGCATGCTCCCAAGCGGGCTCTGCAGAAGTGTACTTTCGGTCCCAGCGCCTCTCGTCAGGCGTCCGTCCGTCTGAGCGAACAGAGAAGTTGTTCAGCAGAAACTGGGCATGTTTCACAAGGCATGGAAACATGGGCGAAGTGACAGGTATAGCGCAGTCATAGCGCTCGGCTAGGTCCAGGCGAAGTGCTCTCACCTGCGCGTACAGGAGGGACTGTGCCTGGCCGACTGCACCTTGAGCCTGCTTCCACTCTGTCCGGCTGTTTCGAAGTGACAAGCCGCCTATCTCTGAGGTGACTGTCTCAGCTACAGCCTTGAGCGACGGCTCTGGGTCGCACTGAAGTATGCCGAAAGTTCGGCCAACGTCCAAGACGAAGCGGCGAAGTTCCGCCTCCGCATAGACAGAGTGGCCTTTGTTAGGCACTACAACCGAACAAGACATGCCAGTGATCACATCCCTCACATTGAGAAGTGTGGCCTGGTTCTCTCCTTTGTCCGGCATGAACGAGTAGTCGCACTGAAGCACTGGTTGCCTCATGCGAAGTTTCTTGGAGTGGTCTTGCCGGCTCTTTGCTTGAACGCAGATCTTGCGCCAGCTTCTGAAGGGAAGATGTGTGAGATTGTGTTCCTCACGCTCTTGCTCTGTTGGTGCTCTAGGTGCACGAAGTGTTTTAGGCGCTCTGGCGTCTGTGTCGTCACCAGCAACCGGAACGGGAAGTGGTTCTGCGACCTCTTCCTCCGGCTTGGCGAAGCAAGTAGCGCCTGTGAAGGTGAAGCCGACGTCTCTCTTGGCAACCTCGCTTTCGAAGTCCCAAGTGTCCTCTCGGCATTGATCACCATCCGAAGTGCACAAGCAAGTCATGCGTTCACGACCAAGCTGAGTGGCATCAGGGCCACCTTGAAGTTCTTCTTCCGTGGGGACAAACAAAGTAGTCCTCGGAACGAAGTGGAAGCGTATCCACATCACCGGCGTGTCCAACCAGAAGTCATGCTCACACGGAAGACCTGTGCTCGGATCTGGCTCTTGAAGTTGAGATGCCACGAAGCGTCTCACACTAGCCTCGTTTCCATCCGAAGCCTCAAGAAGGTTCTTCTGCAGAGACGACCTCTTTGGGTACAAAGAAGTCTCTGGCCTCACCGACTCTGTAGCAACAGGAGCTCGAGAAGCGGGTGCTCGCTCCGAAGAAGGAGAAGTCTTCGGATCCTCTTGGGCCTGCGGAGTGAGAAGTGACTTCTTCTGAAGAAGTCGCGTCGGCGGGCACTGGGTCGTTCTTCCTTTCCAGAAGTAATCCAGCGCTCACGTGGGCTCGTCTGAAGTGACCCAGTTGTCCGTCATCTCCTTTTCATTGCCTTGTGGGTCGACAATGAAGGTTCTTCTCTCCTGAGCAAGCTTGTTTAGCGCCACCGGTCTGTCTGAAGTGCCGCTGGGCACGAACAGATTCTTTCGAGGACGCTTGTGGTATCGCGCAAGAACGTTCCTTGGGGGATCGAAGTGCCAACGATCGGCGTGGTAGTACACCGGTTTGAACGCTGACACTGCGCTCTCCGCTTCTGCTGCGAAGTTTTCGTGAAAGGCCACGCAGACCAACTCGAAGTCGTGTTTCACAAGCGGAAGGATTTCAGGCTTCAAGAAAAGAAGTGAACCCTCACGCTCAACAGGAAGGTTCTTACCATCTGGAGCATGAAGTGTAAGCTTGTCATTTCCCAAAGTAGCGGTGCAGCTCTGAGCTAGAAGTCTTCCTACCGACACAATAGGATACGGAATGTCTGTGACATAGAAGTGCATATGAAACTCAACATCTCCTATCTTCATTCCTACAAGTCTCCTACCGTAGATGTTGAGGAGCTGCCCGGTTACACTGCGAAGTGGAGGCGCTCTGTCCTGAAGTGGCAGCAAAGGCCACTCTCTTGCGAAGTTCTTGGGGCAGCAGTGGGCTGCTGCACCACTGTCGAACAAGATCCATTCTGGACTGGTTGAAGTCAAAGACGCAATGTGCTCATCAAAGAACACATCCTTCAAAGAAGTGTTCAGGTGACTCAAACCCGAATTGAAGAGGGTCTCAAGAAGAGTGTACTCCTGAGGAAGTCCATCATGTCCGAAGTTCTGCATCGGCATTGCCGGTGCGATGCAGAACGAAGACCCTGAAGTTACACTCGGGGGTACCGGTGCCTGGTTTGAAGTGTCACTTGAAGTTGCTTGTCGAAGGGCCTGTGACTGCGAAGTTGGGGCCTGCTCATAGGTCCAGGGATCCTCACTCCAACCTGAAGTCCACCATGACTCATCATCCCATGCGTAAGAAGGCCAACCGAAGTCATCAATCGCACCAATCCACGTTGAAGTCTCATCCCAGAAAGGATCTCAAGCATCACGGAAGTCCTGCCAAGAATCCTGATCACCTAACCAATCCTCGACCGAAGTCTCATCCACTGCTGAAACACGATACTGCTGATGACAATCTCTCGAAGCGTGGCCGCTTTGGCCGCACGTCCAACACACGATATTGGACTTACCTGAAGTTCCTTTCTTTCCCCCGAAATCTTTTCCTTTTCCTTTTCCTGATCCTTTGAAGTTTCCTTTCATCCCTGCCTTTCCTCCTTTTCCTTTTCCTTTCATGAAGTTCCAGTGGCCGAAGCCACCTTTTCCTCCTTTACCTTTAAAGCCGAAGCCTTTTCCTTTGCCTTTCTCCTTTTCCTTTCAATGCTGCTAATGCTCCTACATCCATTGGTGCTAGACCTTGAGAACTTGCTGAAGTTTGAGAAGCTGTGCCATGCAACATTAGCCTAGATCTGAAGTAAGACACAATCACCTCGTGCATCTGCGCATAGGTCCTGATCGAAGTCGAGTTCAACCTCAAGTGCTGCTGCAAGGGGCCTGAAGTTTTGTTCAACAAAGTGGCAATGAGCACTCCGTCGGGAAGCGAAGTGCCTGTCAGGGTTTCGTACCGAACCTTTACCGTCTTGCTCGAACGAACGCGCATTGAATTTCCAATCTAACACTTGTGCAAGAAGTGCGTGCTCGCGCTGTGCATTCGGCATGCTGAATTTCTGAAGAAGTCTGCGCCATGTTTCGAAGCCATTTCCACGAATGTTCTGACGAACGACAAGTTTCGCGGCGCCCGAAGTAAGATTCGCGAGAAGAACATGAAGTTTTCGACTGAACCTCAAAAGTTCGACTCTCCTCTCTGGCGGGAAGCTTTCGCTGTCGAAGAGGGTGTCGACAATTTCGGTATCCGAAGTAGAAGCTCTCTCTAGAAGTTCTCCTATGGAAGCATCAAACAAAGACACGTAGATTGTGAAGTTCCAATGCCATTCTTCCCAGTCCTCAGGGTTACCACTAAAGACCGGGGGAAGTGGCAGGCGAAGTTTACCTGCGAACTCTCCTTCTAGCTCAGCCATCTACGAAGTTTCTACAAAGGCCTAGGAGCACGAAGCTCCGCTACCATGAAAAATTCCGAAGTCACGGAAGTCGTCACAAACAGAGCTCAACCCTCCAAGTAAGCACAGCGACCTCTGAAGTCCTCTTTGTCCAGCAGCTTGAGCCACACGAAGTGTGGGTGCCGAAGTAAGCTGAAGAAGACAGGTTGTACCGGAAGTGTGCAAGAAGTAGTTATATCTTAACAGCAACAGCAACAGCAACAGCGACAGCGACAGCGACAGCGACAGCGACAGCGACAGCGACAGCGACAGCAACAGCAACAGCAACAGCAACAGCGTCAGCGTCAGCATCAGCATCAGCATCAGCATCAGCATCAGCATCAACATCAATATCAACATCAACATCAACATCAACAACAACAACAACAACAACAACAACAACAACAACAACAGATTCGTCGAAGTAGGCGTTTCGCGTGGCATGACGAAGGAGAGGAACTAGATTTCTAGAGATTTGTCATGAAAATGTAGAGAAAATAAAAGCGGTACCTAGGAAAATAGAAGGATGCTGAAGGTTTCTGCATGGAAATGCGCAGATCCACCCCCCACCCGGCACCACAAAAA